AATTTTATTTTCCACCATAGAAATGTGATGATGATCCCTAGTGACCAAGCATATTTTTCAGGTGAGTTGAAACCACCAATCAGCTTGAGTTGGTGAAATCCCATCTTAAATCCTCCAGTTTTTCTTCCATGGTGGGACTCTCAAGGAATGAGCAGTGGACTCCCCTGCCGAGTGCATCGACGAGCCCGAGGAATTTGATGCGTGGGATTTTGCGGCATTTTGTGCAACTGGTTGCTTGGAGGACCATCCCAGCACTGGTCAGGTGCAAAAAAAGCTGGGCCAAGTCGTCTATAATTTTTGCATCTATAGCTGGGCCCTCACTACAGTATAGACTCTAGACATCTCTAGACATGTCTGCAAATTGTGTTTAATGAAATACGAACCGTACCAAGCCCAAGCATTTGGCAGCTTCACTAATCTTTTCACTGTTCACATATTCATAGCCGAAGCTCTCCAAAGAGATAAAACTGTCTATTCGTCGCAGATATGTTTTTTTTCAGGTCTTGATCGAAATTCGGCTGACCGCCGAGATCTCCTAGGGTGATCCTTCAAGGGTCCCAGTATCTTCCATCTCTATACAGTTTCGAGCATGCGGGCGCACTGTCGGAATTCCCACCAGAGGAAGGCGTGGATGCCCGCGGTGTGGTGTGGGGCTTGAAGAGTGAAAGCAACCCAAACGAAGGTCACCCGGAAGAGCATCTTGGGATTGGTTCGAACCAACCAGAATAGACCACCTGCTGAAAATCATTTGGGGAGAGCCCCAATGTGGGTATGCGAAAATAAAGACAAAAAAGGATTACCAAGCAACCAGGTCTTTTCCCGGTATTAAAGCAGCCAATTATATATTTGGGCGGTATGCCCACAAATGCCTACTTAAATGGGAAACAGGTTCATACATGTTTATACTCTGTTGGGTTTCCGTATAGCCAAACTCATTTTGAGGCATGCGCAAGTCAGTTCCCTTTGAACTGTGTCTAATTTGCACCTGCACGTGTGCCATGGTCGAAACTTGGGTAAATTGCCCATGTTGGATGATGGTAGTCAATCCATTGCGGTATGGAGATTGTTCATCATATGATTTCAGTGCCGATACAGTAAAAATTGCAAGTCATTAGTCAAGCCTCTGCACTATCAATCTGTCAGAATTTGACTGGATTATTTAAACTTATCCATGACAGGGAATGAACTTATTGACAACGGGCTCAAAAGGAAAACATAATGAATGTAATTATGTATTAATCAAATGAAATTATATATATATATAATTATTATATATATGGAGATAATTCCAATATTTACACCATATTGGTATATATATATATATATTTATTTATATAAATTTTAATATACACAAAATACACTATTGATTGAGCGATTACCGTATTTTTCTATAATGCATAATGCAATATAACAATACCTAATACAATTATATTATGTATATTTTTATTCACCCATATATGTTTTGAATAAATAAATGCCTACTTAAATGGGAAACAGGTTCATACATGTTTATACTCTGTTGGGTTTCCGTATAGCCAAACTCATTTTGAGGCATGCGCAAGTCAGTTCCCTTTGAACTGTGTCTAATTTGCACCTGCACGTGTGCCATGGTCGAAACTTGGGTAAATTGCCCATGTTGGATGATGGTAGTCAATCCATTGCGGTATGGAGATTGTTCATCATATGATTTCAGTGCCGATACAGTAAAAATTGCAAGTCATTAGTCAAGCTTCTACACTATCAATCTGTCAGAATTTGATTGGATTATTTAAACTTATCCATGACAGGGAATGAACTTATTGACAACGGGCTCAAAAGGAAAACATAATGAATGT